ACATACATACATACATACATACATACATACATACATACATACATACAATATCTTATATGCAAACATGCCTCGGTCCGCAAGAGAACCGTCCATCATTCATCATTGACTAGACTATATATGGTTCGCTGGGCACCCACTCGTGCAAATGGGCATTCCGCAGGTGTTTCAAGGATTTGAGGCAACCGTAGCACTGAAGCGGTCTGTCCTGCGGATTCGATGGATTACATGGAGCCGTGGAGCAACACTCAGAGAAGAAAATCCAATTGGCGCATGAATCCTACCTTTGCATGTGCTATGTGTGGGGCAGGCAATACTCCTTTGGCTTAAGCTAGCTGCTGTGTGTTTGTGCGTGTTTGTGTGCAAGTACAATACACAGTGCATTATCCTGTCTGCTTTTAGGCACTAATTCCGGATAATGGCTGACGAAGCCCCACACTCTCTTTTGACCACTGAACATAAGTTGTGAGTGGAACGATCCTCGAAAGCAAATAGATCAAAAACACCACGCAAAATCGTTCAGCTGAGTCTGAGTGACGCATACGTAACTCACCCAATCTCCTCGGTGAAAAGAAAGACAGCCACTGACGCATCCGGTGTGGTGGGTGGGAGCCAGTCAGTTGCCTGTCTACAGTAGAACAAGGCAACTGGCTATTCACGGCAGTCTCGAATAAGAAATGCTGCAAGCATGAAAGAATTCCATGCAAGAAACCACATGTCAGTGCCATGAGAGGCAAATTTGTAGTTGCGCAGTAGTCCAGGATGGAATGGGAAAAGGAGGGAATAGCTAAACTTCATTGAACACAACACTGATACGAGAATGGCAAGAGGTGTTGGAGCAGACTGGGCTTCACAGCAGTTACTGTTCTGATACTGAGCATAGAATCCATGACTGCTCTGCGCCTTTTTGTTGAGATTCTGGCGCTTTCGGGCCACGACCTGTGGGAAGCAAACCGCGCAAGAGTCTTGCACGTTCCATGTGATAGTCCGGTCTGCTGACGTCCTACTCCGTTCGTTTAATTGTTTCAATTTGTAAAAGTGGTACACGAAGTCAAAATGGTTTAACGCCAGAAAGTGAGTGTTGAAGCTATGATTTGTTGTCGAACTTCACACCAGGCACTCCCGTGATCTTTCAACTCCTTCGAACATCTGTTGTTGCAAAGTCAAGGCAACAAGGATTTTGGAGGTCACGGACTTTCTCATACATTGATATATATATATAATCATCATCAAGTCGAGTCTAGCTGCACAGCAAAGTTTGGAGGCTGCAGCTTCGACCCAAAGCCTGTCACCCGCTACTGGCTAGCACATTTCAGATGCAATGATACTTACTTTCATAAGTATATAGTATCTGAAGCCCTACTTGAGTTGATACGAGCTAGTGGTGACCAAAAAGGGCAAATCATGCCGCCTGCAAGGCATGATGGTTCTTCGGCTCCAGTGTGAGAACATCTCTTGCATCCTGTCAGCATTCGCGGAGCAAGAGGCTGAGCTATGGTGAATTGAAACATAACCTATCCGCTCCTGCAAGGCCTCTTCCTGCCGACCCGCTGCATCTAGGGCCACCATGCGGCGAAGCAAGGCCTCTCAGCTTTATCAACTCTCAACACTTGTGGTCCTATCTCAGACTCCTGGACACCACAAAGCGCTACTAGGAGCAAAGGGCATCGCTGCCAGGAGCAAAGACGCTACTAGGGGCTCCTGGCCTTACTACTAGGAGCAAGAAGCTACTAGTAGCTAAAGCTACTAGGTGGAGGTTAGGTTTTTGTGCAAAAGACACTCCTTACACCCCCGGAGCCCCCGGTTGCTCATGTTGTGTGCCAGGAGCTGTAAGGCCTTGAGGTTTGCCGGCTGCTGTTTGATGACCTGTGGCGGACTCGTTGCTCATGCTGATGAATCCTTTGATGTGTGCTCAAGAGCTCAAACTTATCGGGGGCGATTGTTGGAGAAGAAATCAACACACAAATCATACATATCAAACCAACAACTTGAAACTGATTTATCTATTGGTCCATCTAGCAACTTCGAGGGAGCTGGTGTTGGTTTTCAAACGGCTGACCCTCTGCCACTTCAGACCCCGCTGCTGAATCTCCCGACACCAGGAGATCTGAGTGGTGTGCAAAACCTAACCAGCTCTACACATGTATTCCTGTGTAAATGTATCTTGCTAACGTAAGCAAATCATATTATCTAGGCATATGTCTGTAAACTATGTTGCAGAAAATTCATGTAGTGTTTGGAATCTATCTCACTGGTCACTAAGAAAAATGCAAAGTATATTATGATATTAATCTAAGAGTAGGAATCTTGAGTGTGGTTTATGTGGCCCGCCGTGTGCCTCGGATGTATCTCGCACCACAAGATCATGCCTCACTGTCAAAATGCATCCGCTCTGGATGGCTACTTAAATAGCAAGTCCCAAGCTAATCAGGTCAGCATCGGCCCCGTGTTTGCCAGCTGAATATTTTTTGTATTTTTTGTTGGTCAGCTGATGTTAGCTGTCATCTTTGACTTTGCTGAACGTAGTGCAGCCGGGACTCACAAGTACTGACAGTCCTCCTCTAAAGCATCTGGATGCATCTGTTATCAGTTAATAAAGCAGTGCTTCGGCTGAGTATAGTATAGCTAAGTTCTCAGCTGCTTCAACTGCTGGAAGCAGGCTGCGCGATTGTTAAGACCTCGGAGGTTTATCAATTGAAACAACTGCGATCTGGTGGATTGGAGGTGATCCAACAGCCAAGCCGTGTGATGTTTGTTTTTTTCCACTTATTGTAATTACATGGTGACATGGTATGCCAAATCCCCGCATCCCACAAGTCCAACCAAGCTTGTGAGCAACTAGTAGATGACCTACTGCAAATACGAATGATACCTGCCAACTGCCTATCTTGAATTGTTTTAGAATATATACGACTTAGTTTGCAAAATCTGCCGGGATGCAGGTCAAGGCCAGCTCAGAGCTGGCTGTGCAAGACCTAAGAGCCGACGGTTGTCGCGAGAAGCGCATAGTAGCGGCTGGTGACCGGTGACCTGATTTGCTGCGAGTCTGTTGGCCCGGATAATCTGAGGATGTGCGATCACATGCCAGCAACACAGAGCAAGCATCTAGCGCTTGTTTCTCCTTTCAGAAAACTGACACATGTGGACACAGGCTCCATGCCAAGTGAGTGCCGAATCAGGCCATGTGCCAAGACAAGGACGCATTGAACTGCTCCTTCTTAATTTAGTCACTGACGTTTGCCAGTGAATGACGAATGAAGAAACATTTATGTAAGCAGATTCCGGCATCATCAAAAATACATGACGAGATTGTAGACACTCAAAAAATAGAACAAATGCTGACTGCTGGACTTGCTTGATCATACCAGAATGCTGGCCGTTGACAGTGCAAAATCCTTGGGTCCCTTGTGAAGCTGTTGCTGTAAGAGAGTTCGATGCTGCCGTTATCTGACACCCATGAGCCAAGTCTCGCTCTGCATGGCAGACTTGGAGAAATGCATCTGTCCATTCATCAATGAGCTACCGAAACCCGAAACTCTGCCCACAAGGCTTCGAAATAAGTAGCCAGCCTTACACCGTCTGGAGTCTGGACCAGGATTCAGGTCTTGCAAGTCATGAAAGGACAGTTGTGATTGTTATTGAAATGAATCTAATCGACCACCTCAATTCCGCTAGTTTGGCCCTTTAAACATGTCCCGACGGCGGCCATACCCCTGAGAATGCAGGCATTGTGCCCAATAGGCAAGGAGGTTTGTGAGAAGATTGCTTGATGACAGGCTACGACCAAAGAATTTGAGAGGATATACTTTTTCGCTCTCAGGGAGTAAACCGTTTGAGAGCTCTCCATCTCCTCTCATTTCTCTGACAGGAAACAGCGCTGTCAGCACTACGCTTGTTGGTGGCTTGCGACAAAACACATCCAACACGTGTGGATACCATGGCCATCATGGTTTCTCGGGTATCTCCAAAACACCATCACCTGCAAGCAGCACCAAGGACAACGACAGCGCGGCAGCTCCGGCAGCAGCAACAACCACCAACATCCATAGTAGTGATGACATATTTGTATCCACCACAAGTTGCTTTTTCAGCGTTTATTTCAACACAATGCCTCCCAGCAAAAGGCATCTATAGACTTGGTGTTATTCTTGCTTTTTTGCTTTTCTTGGGAATCCATCTACATTTACTTTGTTTCCTCCTTAAGTGAATCTGCCCTCAATTTCAATCTGTTGTCCAAGACTTCCCTCTTGGCCAAGTCCTTAGCTGGAAATAGGTGACTTCTTAGCTGACTCATTCTCCCACCCACAGACCCCTTCCAGACAAATCCGCGAAAGCTATATAAATGCTTCCCCATCATCTGAGCGGCTAATCTAAGGTTTCCCCTTTTGACATGGTCCGTTTAAGTCAAGCTTTCCGACTGACAGTGTCCTGGCAAGTCTTCATACAGTATAAAAGAATGACTCCTCTCTTGGAAAAGTATTCCTATTCTCAGCGGCCTTTCTGTTTTATTTACTTGAAACATATGACCTTTTGTGTTTTTTGCTTGACTTGGATTCCTTATTGAGCTAAACTTTCAGGTCGGCATGTATCCATTGCCATGCCCTTGTCATATGTTTATGGATACACTGGAAATTCACACGATACAGTAGCGCCCAACACTACTAGTGCATATATATTAATATATTTATAAATACATGTAAATGCAGTAAACTCCTAAACAAAAATATGCCAGCGTAGCTGGAAAAGAAAAAATCATGAACAACTGTTAAGGTTAAAGGGCATAGGCTATACAAAAAAAGGTTATGACTGCTAGCTATCAGGTTCACGGCCATCGCTATTAGGTTGGATGCCATCGCCATTAGGTTGGAGGCCATTGCTATTATATAGGTTGGAGGCCATCGCTAGCATTACACCTTTTGGGACATGTAATTCACAGCAATTTCTGTAGCGCTCACAGCGGCCCTTCCTGGAGCACGGAGCACCATCCTCGACACTGCGGGAAGATGCTCAACGACGCTCAGTCGGATGACGATGGCACCTGCCATGGCACAGGTCATGCAGGTCACGGGTCTGTCAACAAGTCATCTCAACTCCCATGAATTCGTGTGGAAATCAGACGGGATCCCACAATTGGCAAGTCTTGTAGACTGAAGAATCCAGTGTCAACGTGATTTGTCAAGCCTGAAAGGGCTGCAAGGGCTCTGAAGGAACCAAGCCAAGCACACTACCAATCTCAGCACCACTCTCCTGAGACAATCTCAAGAATGTGTCACCACAACCATGGGAAGCCCGAAAGCCGGTTCCCTGGTCCAACCTGAGGAAGAGTCATATCATATCAATGAAACGTGACAGTGCCAACGCTGATGCTAGTCCAAGATGCCTTCAAAGTCAAGTCTTTCCGTAGGATTCTCCTTCGGAATCCTGAGTTTGAAGAAGCTGCCCAGGCAAGGGGCGCAGCGGGTTCGTCAAATGGGGATTTCTGGTCAACTTGCAAAACATTGAATTGCACTCTTGCAATTCCACCTGAAGCAATGCTGTGGAGCTTCCCAACTAATTTGTCTTTCTCCTTCTATATGTGTATTAGCTGCATTAGGGTGATCCCATCCTAGCAAATCCCTTGCAAATCGACAGTTGAGTCTCCAAGGAAATTGTTACAGTTAGATCTGCTGCAGCGAGACCCGCCACTGTCTGCTCGTTCATAGGATGAACGACCCGGTCATGAAGCCAACCCCCAAGACTACAAAACAAAGCTGCAGTGACGAAAAAGGGTAGTCCGCATGTTTCTGTCTCGCTACTGTACAGGAGAGATCCAATTCGACTGCTTCATCCAAGTCACGAAGGTTGCAGCCATTCTCCAGACCTTTAAGCCCCACATTTCGGCAATTAGCCTTAGATAATGGCAATCTCAAGACCCTTGGCACAGCGTGCAAAACCTGTGATAGCAGAATCGTGCATATAAAAAGGCAAAGCACATATGCAATTTGGTGGGTTAAAACACATGCCACAATAATTAATTTGCACTCTTAATGTTGCTCCCAAAGTGTATCCCAAACAATTTTAATGCGTTCGACAAGATTTCAAAACGTAGGTGCCGTATGTCCTTTCGCTGGAAAGGCATCACCTGCTAGAGAAAACTAGTCCGTCATGCATTGTTATAAATATATATATATAGATACAAACCTGCAGCCTACAACCTCTCGCAAATGTGTGTACTCCAAAAAATCATTAGCATTGACCTTCATACACAAAGAATTCACTACAAAATCAAATATCAAGTAGGAAGTAGTCAAAATGGAGGCCTCAGGGTACCGTTGAACAGCTTGTTAAGCTACGATATATGTGCTACATGCTGTTCTTAGTATAGCATTGAAGGCTCTAGGCTGCAAAGCACCTACATCTCTATCTGCATCCCCAGCAAGCAACAGTCAAATGGCGGTCGGTTAATGAGGAATGTTGTCTGCCCAGCAGGGCTGGGTGTGATGATTTTATAGTCTTAGACTGCGCATGTTCAATGATGGTGGTCTAACACTTTTTGCAGCATCTGGCAAGGTCTTGTGGGTGACCCTAAGTGGATGAATCTATCGTATGCCATCTTAGTGTTCCCTGTTGTCAAGGGTCAGTTTTTTGCGCTGAAATCTTTGACTTTCGATGTCGCAGTTCAATCGCTTTATTTGTGCAATGAAACATGTTGGTATTACAATGAGACCGGCCAGCCCACTGTGGAATAAAACAAGTCCATCATGCAAGCATCAACTCACTACAGAATGAGAACACACAGCGTCTCTATAAAGTCAGTCTACCCCGTATCTCCATCCTATCCAACCTCAAGTCATCCTATCCAACCTCAATAATAAAAAAACATGTGTGGTTTAGAGAAAATGTGTCTAAATTGCCAATCACCCACCATTCTTGAAAGAAATTGCCAAGGGGATTACTTTTCTGTGTCTTCCCAAAGGCATGTGAGTGTCTTTTTCTCATACACAGCCGAGGACAAATGTATATAACTCAACACCTACGTGCCTATGCTTATGCAATATTATATATCAGTGCCAACTAAATGAGAAGCACTGCCAGACTGGGGCTGCTTGATTCTCCCCGCACAGAACTGTCATTTGGAATCCTTTGAACCAAAAGCTTGGCACCGGCGAGGTGAGTTAAAGCTTAGTCACGCTGAGTCAGCTAAAAGATTGGAGGCCATTGCTTCCAGGTTGGAGACCATTGCTTCTAGGTTGGAGGCCATTGCTTCTAGGTTGGAGGCCATCGCTCTTAGGTTGGAGGCCATCGCTATTGGGTTGGAGGCCATCCCTATTAGGTTGGAGGCCTTTGCTACAGGTTGGAGGCCATTGCTTCTAGGTTGGAGGCCATCGCTATTAGGTTGCAGGCCATCGCTCTTAGGAGGCTAGGGGGAGGCCATCGCTATTTAGTTGGAGGCTATCGCTATTGGGTTGGAGGCCATCGCTCTTAGGTCAGAGGCCATCGCTATTAGGTTTGAGGACATCACTCTTAGGTTGGAGGCCATCGCTCTTAGGTTGGAGGCCCTCGCTATTAGGTTGGAGGCCATCGCTCTTAGATTTGAGGCCATCGCTATTCGGTTGGAGGCCATCGCTCTTAGGTTGGAGGCCATCGCTATTAGGATGGAGGCAATCGCTCTTGGGTTGGAGGCTAACAGGGGGAGGCCAGGTTGGAGGCCATCGCTATTAGGGGGAGGCCATTGCAGCAGGTTGCAGGCCATTGCTGTTAGGGGAGGTAATTGTAGGTTGGAGGTCAACGCTAGTAGGTTGAAGGCCATCGCTATTATAGTAGGTTGGAGGCCATAGCTCTTAGGTTGGAGGCCATCGCTCTTAGGACGGAGGCCATCGCTATTAGGATGGAGGCCGTTGGGGGCCATCGCTATCACGGGGAGGCCAGGTTGGAGGCCATTGCTAGTAGGTTGGAGGCCTATTAGGGGGAGGCCATTGCTTCTAGGTTGGAGGTCAACGGTAGTAGGTTGAAGGCCATTGCTACTTTAGTAGGTTGGAGGCCGTCGCTATTAGTCAAGACACAATGATATACTCGGAGGCTTCAGTGGTGGTCCAGTTCAGATCCATGTCTGCTGGAATGATCTCGCCGCTGGGCATTCGCACGAAGATGCGAGTTCGCCTCACTCTGAACATGATAGATTTGCCGCCTATGATGCCGTTATGTTTTGCAAATTTTGCCTACTGCACCTACATATAACTTTGGTGCCACAACAAGAGGTACGAAAAGAAAAACAAAATCAGCTCCTCTTTCTCGTTTGGATATATTTTGAGATGCCTGGCCCAACTACGAACTAGGAGGTTGAGGGCTCACTCGTGCTTTGATTCAGCCCAAGTGTCTAACAAATAAAACATTCAATTGCCAATCAACATCACGCTAAACCACACTTCATGACTCGCCTCGGGTGACGTGGTGTAGCCACCAGGTCCTTCTTGGCAGGAGTGACCTGGGGTCGTAGTTGTGGTATCCCAAATGCGAACACCAGGTGGGGTTCTTTTTAAAGACAACTCACATGACATGAGCGACATTCAAACGTAATTCCCTGTCTGGAATATACTTTTTGATCAGGACCTTGTCACATATGCAGTACATTATTAAATTACATGTCCGGTGTCCAACAGAACTCAATACGCAAAGCACCGGTTTGGAGTACTAGTTTACTAGTAGATGTTCATGAAGAAAATGCTAACACAAATCCAAGCATGTCCCAAACTACAGCAGCCAAGATGCCGGTGATACATCCCGACTACTAGGCACTTCCAGGATGAGGTCATCTGATTTTGGGAGCCTCTAGGACTCAACGGCGTTCCGTGTTGATTGGCTTCACAACAGCAATCTAGCTGCAGTAGACTTTGCATCCTCTTGCATGTCTATGTCCAATCGAGTGCTTAAATGACGTCTTTAGGGCTACCCTTGGCCTGTGCCCTTTGGCAACAGGATATCACAGGCCTTCGGCATCGGCAAAACCAACCCATCTCCAACGGCCTGCCACAATCGATATCACTAAAAACAACAGTGAAGTGTCAGCTGCCATTGGGCTGAAGCAGTAGTCGCTCAACGACTGTCAAGTTTTGGGGTTCATCTCCTTCAGCCCCTGTGTGAGAAGAAACATAGGGGCAAATGTAATGCAAACGTAAAAACACCAATGCCACAACTGTTCAAAACTTAACAGTTTGCTCTGGCTCCCTGAAAAGAATAAAGGTTCCTGAGCCCTAGCCTAGCCGCTAGGGCCTAGCCCAGTCGACAAAATGAGCATGGCCAACTTCCTGGAAGCCACCAAGGAGTTGCTCAAACCAACCTTGCCCAAGAGTTCTTGCCTCCCAGCACATTAAATCCAAAAAATTAATTTCAAAACCATGAAACTTGATAGTAAACCAGACCCCCACACACCAGACCCGCGACATCCCCCAACATTTCTAAAAGGTCACCAAGTTGAATGACCTTCTGATGTGCCATCCTCGGGCACCAAGCAAAGTGGGGTTCCAAGTTTTTGCACCTTGAAGTTCAGAAAGGTTTCTGGACCTGGCCACAAAAAGTTTTTTATATTTTACGACAAATACTACCTCAAACCCCTAACTTAAACCAGGTCTGTTTCTTTGTTCTCAATTGGATACATACACTCACACACCCGAGCGCGTGTCAAACCACCGCCAGTGAAAATTGTTATTATAAGAAATCAGTCTGAGGCGTGTCTGTGTGTGTGTGTGTCTCAACCCCTGTGCCTAAGGGTTTCCACCTTACAGTTTTGCTTCTTTCTTTACTTCCTGCAGGGGGTCGCTGGGGATTCGTGCAGTCAGCGACCAACGAAGACGCTGCACGTTTCCTGTGATATGAGTCGAGGACGCTCGACTCACGTACCTGCGACAGTTTTGAACTTTTGACCAAGCCGTTCCAATCTCTCTTCTTTGCTTTCATGGTTGTTCCACGATACTTCCCCCAAACCTTTTTCCTTCAGCCACTTTCAGCAGCCGCGCGTTTTCTACAGTCACGTGAAACTGTTGAACAATACTTTTCCACGGACTCTGCCACCTTTCCGTTCCATCGCCATTTTCCTGGAAATTGAGCTAACTGAAAACCAATGTCAGGGTGTGAATCGCTCAGTCGTCCCACTTGGGTGCTGGGCGTGATCCTCCGCAAGGAGGCCCCGTTCTCATCCCCGAATTCGTGTAACAGTTTTCACCGTTTCCACCATACCTTGGATTTTCTTAACCGCCTTAGTGTCACCACTGGATTGCCTGAATAGTGGGCCGCCGGGCCATCGTGGAAGGAACTGCTCAGATTCATGCTCGCAGCTTACTTTCAATTTCAAGAGTGTACAGTCACACATTTTCCACCACGATCCCTTTGAGATCAGGCACGTTACGTTTCTAACTCAATTTTCCACTTGTTCTCATGAGCTAGTCAGACTATATGTCCTAAAGGGACACAATGCCAAAGACTGTCAGCGCTTTTTGAGAAAAATGACACGTGCGCCGATGACGGCCACGTGTGTGTGTCAACCCCTGGGCCTATAAGGGTTTACACCTTACAGTTTTGCTTCTTTCTTTACTTCCTGCAGGGGGTCGCTGGGGATTCGTGCAGTCAGCGACCAACGAAGACGCTGCGCGTTTCCTGTGATATGAGTCGAGGACGCTCGACTCACGTACCTGCGACAGTTTTGAACTTTTGACCAAGCCGTTCCAATCTCTCTTCTTTGCTTTCATGGTTGTTCCACGATACTTCCCCCAAAACCTTTAATTTTCCTTCAGCCACTTTCAGCAGCCGCGCGTTTTCTACAGTCACGTGAAACTGTTGAACAATACTTTTTCACGGACTCTGTCACCTTTCCGTTCCATCGCTGGAAATTGAGCTAACTGAAAACCAATGTCAGAGTGTGCGCCTTGTAATCACAGGGATCCAGTTGGATTGTTTGCTGAATTTTCTTCTTTTCCCGCACAAGGACACAGCATTTCACTGGGACTGTGTCCAACGAAGCTACCAGTGAAATGGGATATCCAGCTTGGCCAGCTGGACGTACCTGCGATTTTAATCCTTTGGTAAAGGGCTAATGCAGCTGCAGTCACGCACGGAACGCCGTCACTCTGTCGGCCCGACTCCGCCTTGCGCTTTTGGCCCCATTTCCTTTTGAAGACCCCCAGGCCCCTTTAGGATTTTCCTGGACCTTTCAGGATTTGGGTTTCATAGGCTGGCATGCGGCATTCAGTTCCGTACGCATATCCATAAGTGTGTCTGGCCTCGGCCAGCCCGGGATGAGCCCGCAGAGTGCCTCCCGTGGACCCGTCAAATGGGGGTTTGTCGCGCGTAGCCCCTGCCTGGATACAGAGCAGCTCGCAGCGAGCCTAGGAGGCTTACGCCAAAGTTATTTGCCAAGGCTTGTCGAATTATTGCATTCCAAGATGGCTCACGCCTTTACGTGACCGCAGCGGTCCAAGCTGGCTTAACGCCTCAACGTGGTCAGAGCGACCTAAGTTCTTTTAGACTCATTGGAGTCTGTCGTGAGCTTAGGTGCACACACAGCACGTACATGTTCAACGAGGCTTGCCTAGGTTCTTTAATGAGGTTTGGGCTCATTGGTTTTCGTCCCCTTGATTTGGTTCCATTTTCATCCTTTACCCCTTCACACACCTCTGTTCTCCTCTTTTCTTTCACGTCGTTCTGTCTTCATGTCTTTCATCTCATCCTTTCTTTCGTTTGCGTGCACATTGGTCCCGGCCTTAGCGTGTACGCGCACAACTACATGTACTTTAGACTCAGGCTTTATGTGGCCCAGGTCTTTATAATGAGGTGGGTTTCATTGTTTGTCCCTGTGCGCTTGGTTCCCCTTTCATCACAGCCACATGCACCTTTGCCCCGTCCCGTCCTTCTGTCATGTCTTCATTCCTTTGTCTCTTGCGCGCGCGCTCGTGCACATTTGCCTAACCTTAGTTTTACGCCTCCCCTCGGGGAGGCGCGTGTGTGTGTGTGTGTGCCCTTTGTAATCACAGGGATCCAGTTGGATTGTTTGCTGAATTTTCTTCTTTTCCCGCACAAGGACACAGCATTTCACTGGGACTGTGTCCAACGAAGCTACCAGTGAAATGGGATATCCAGCTTGGCCAGCTGGACGTACCTGCGATTTTAATCCTTGGTAAAGGGCTAATGCAGCTGCAGTCACGCACGGAAAGCCGTCACTCTGTCGGCCCGACTCCGCCTTGCGCTTTTGGCCCCATTTCCTTTTGAAGACCCCCAGGCCCCTTTAGGATTTTCCTGCACCTTTCAGGATTTGGGTTTCCTAGGCTGGCATGCGGCATTCAGTTCCGTACGCATATCCATAAGTGTCTGTGTGTCTATATATAGTACACGGTATGAATTTTAATATGGTATGTGCATTGTAGGCACGTACAGAACTGATTGTCTTTTGTTTGAAGACTGCAATGTTCATAATTCGCAAGCGACAAATAACACTTGCTGGCCTTCCCCAAGGCCAGGATCATAAACTGCAGTATGCACATGGCCATACCAAAAGGTCATTCCAGCCAAATAGCCACAGTGTCGATGCGCGGTGTTTTCCGGGAAACAAACAACCACAGAGATGAACAATTGCTTTAGAACAATACGAGGAAACAACACCGTAAGAGATTTGCGGTCTCAAAACTTCTGGTACCTGAGAAGTACTCGCATTCCATCATTTATCTATGTGTTCATCATATCTCAACATACATTATGTAATCTATAATCTGGTGCAATGTGGCTGTTAATTACAAACTATTCTTGAAGTTTCGGTCCAATGCCCTTGAACAAGACCAATTGGCGAGACTTCAGGAGTTCCACACTTCAGGGCAGCAGTGTATAGCTCTGCAGCGGACGCCCAATCCTGCCAGAACCACCCGATCTTCGTATTCACTAGTCAAAATCAGCCCGGAACAACACGGGTTTTTAAGAAACAACGAATGGAACACATTCCATGATATGACATTATCGAACTGTTGGTCCTGCTGCGCATAGGCGGCGGTGCCTTGGCGCTTGAGTTCTTCTGCCTGCGCGCAGCCCAAAGCACACAACCCAAATATTTGGGTTCGATTGGGCATGGTTGAATTGCTTTACCATGGGTCAATCAACATGTTACTGGAAAAATGTGGCAATGTGCCAACAGGCCTCTTGGGAATCATCCGGACCAGCCATGGGAAATGACTGTCACAAGGAAACCAGCGGCCACCTTGACATTGTGCCGGCTGAATCAAACGCTGCATTTTCCAATCAACAGCGTGAAGCAAACATGCATGGTTTGTATTTGTTGATAATGCAATCGTCCAAAACACATCATTTTTGACAGTCTTGCTTTGCTGCGCACGACAAACGCAATGAACTTGGTGTTGATACATGCTGAGGACAAACGGCGCGGCAAGTCCAAATTGTTAAAGCGCATCTAATGTAGTCAGGTGAATTCGTAGGGGGCCTGTTGCAGCACGGGCGAATCACCTTAAAACACGTTAGGCCACACATGAAACGACAAGCCCCGTACACAACACTGGAACCAAATTGCCCCTGAACCAAAGGAACATCTGATGTCACCTACATCTATCAAGTCAAAAACCCCGAATTACCAAGAAAAGACTTCAGCAGGAGCGCATTCAAAAAAAGTATTTCCCCCTCGAGGCCAGATGGCTGCATGCCCAACAGTCTTGCTGAGTAGCGCCCTTTTCCACGGCTTGTCTCTCAACAGCTGTCCAAGCTTCGCACACAGCCAAGCATTGGGCAAGCGAATTAATTGCCCCAGCTGTGGAGCAAACCCCCACACACACAAGCACATCGTTTCCACTACCTGCTTTTTGGAACGGATCCCTAAAACCCCCTAAAGCACCAAGCCTTCAAGCAGTTTGCTTGCCAGTTTCCACTTGCCCTGACGTAGAAACCACTTGCGGTCCCATCGAAGAGTGGCGCACTTTGTTTGGACTCTTGTGTCTTCTGGCCAACACGCTCGCAACGCAGTGTTGCCAGAGACATGCTGCTCGCCTTTGCTCTCCCTCCGGCACGTAAAGTTTTTAAAGTCTTTCTGCCAAAACACGGCTGCAGCCTTCAGATTCTTTCGCTCTGGCTTGTAGCAAATCATCAACCGCCAAAGCCATTGGAAAAATGCAAGGCTTGCTGGATGTCCTTGATATCCTGGGCGCTGCTGTCACTGCCCGGGTTTTTGTCCGGGTGCTTTGCAAGGAGTGCCTTTTGCCGTGCTTGTCTCAGCTGCACAGCCCCCAAGATATCCACGCGTTGTTTTCGTGAAATCCAAAGCATGCACCACTAGCATCTAACAGCAAGAGAGTCCTGATGGGACTGGCCTCCAACCTGCTGCTACAGTAGCGATGGCCTCCAACCTACTAGCTCGAATCAAAGGCGGCAAGTCTCGGTCTCGGTGTGACACAGGACTCGGTTTCAGGGGAGTATGATCCCGTCCCAAATAACAGATTTGCTTTGATAGGTTTTAAAGGTCAAAGCGAGAGCTAGAAGCTCCCGGGGGCAGAGACGCTCCACAGGTCAAGTCGTGAGTTCCCATGCAGTCAAGTCTAAAACCAGTGTTCCGACGGTACATGCAACCCAAAACATGACACATCAACGACGTCTGCATCATTGCCATGATTACCTCCGATTGCGTCTCTTGGCACCTGGCTCTCAGAGGCTTCTGTTGTCTTCATGATTCGATCGCCCAGCTTGCTTCTGGCACTTTTCTTTTTTTGGCAGTCTCTGCGCCCATGCTGGATGAAAAAGCAGGCATCAATCGGCACGGTCAAAAGACCAGTCAAACAAGTCTTGAGCAGCAGCAACTGATTGGCAATATTGACACTGGCAAGAATCGTCACGAACCAAAGCTAAGCGCCCGTTTTGCACTCTGGGCAATGAATAAATCAATATGTTCTTCATCCCAAATTTGTGCATGTGGGTGATAAGTCCACACATCTCTCACTCGCACCACTGTACAGCAGTACTGGCCAGGATCCAGCCTGCAACGCATCAATCCCAACGCTTCGTAGTTTGTCTAAAGCGCTTGCCGACCTCTCCGACGTACATACGGTATGATACTTGGTGGCAGTCTTCGTGGTTGGCCTATGTTGTACTCGTGTACTCCAAGAACACTTAAGAACATTCCAACACACGTCCTTCCATCTGATTATCTTCTGACAGCGCGCGCCCATGCTTGCCACATTCAATGCCTGCGTCGACGTCGCCACCGCCAGCTCCACTTCCTTGACGTCGGATGGACATCACATGGAACCTAGTGCTCCACGTCCGCTTTCGTATGGGAACCAGAGATGGGAAGCAAATTGGAACCGAATGGGACTGAGAAAACAGGCGGCATGCAGTCCTTTTGGTCTACATAGCCATAGTCTACCTGTGTCCACATGTCGTAATGTTGGATCCTGAGTTGTAAAATGGGGATGTAAATCTGAAAGAGAATTCACAAAATTACGCACCTTTGGATTGTTTTGCCGTTGGAGTGATAGAAAGTGTTTGCTCTCTTCAGTTGATTATACTGTGTTTTGGTTGGCAATCTTTTGTCCTAGGACACGGAGCTGATACTTTTGTCGGCATAATTGCCAAATTCGGGCAGTCTACGGGCGCATGAAATGTTCAGGGGGTTGGAAATACACTTCACCACAAATCCCATGATCTCCTTTGCTTTCCTATTGCTGTCCTTTAGATCTCCTGATCTCCTCCTGTTTAGCACCGGAGGATTTCTAAATGGCAATGAGCAGGAAAGCACTTCCTTTTGATTTCAATTTCCTTGTGTTCCCTTCAAAAGCAAATCAATAAAAGGAATGTCCTTTTTCTGTCTTTAAAGAGCAATTCCTAGGCCTAGGCCAGACTCCCTGGAATTGTTTTGGTGGCCGAATCTTTTTTTCAGGCTCCCTCAATCGTTTGCACACGTTGGTTATCCACAAATCGAGACTGAACATGCGAAAGTTCGTGGCTCTTAAGTCATTAAGTGGTCTTACTTGCAATCAGTTTAGATGGTTTAGTAACAAAGATAAACCATTTGGAAAAAAAACTATATTGCGATCCTGATCGACTCGCTTGTACCTTTTACTTATACAGCAACTTCAATGTGTGCACAACAAATCCAACAAGTGCTGCAAACAAAGCAAAGCATTCCAACAAAGGGCCGGGCCCCTGCTGATCAGCCCTCGGTTCTTTGAAAAGACCAATCAGCTTCTCCTGTCTGTCAGAGAAAAAAACAGGAAATTAGTTACTGCGCTCCTCAATGCGGCAACCAAAATCCAAAGCCAAAACGGGAGAGAAATCCCAGCTGGCAGTGTTTGACGTCCAGCCCACCTGAACCATCTTGCGAGCTTCAGGGTTCCGAGCCACTTCCTCTGGCGATTCTCCAAACAGGCGAGCAGTGGACTCGGAGAAGCTGATGGCCTCGGTCGACCGAAACCATCGCCCCGGTAGGTGCAGTCGGATCCAGTGCTGCCTGGGCGTGGAGTGGAACTAGTTCCACTGGGTCGTCAGCCAAGGCGCCAGGACATGCTTCACATGCTCCGAATCGCGAATCCTCACGTGCCCCTGCACAACGCAATGGGTGTATTTCTTATACATTCTTTCCAACAAACGGACGTTGAGAAGATGTCACGCAGCATCTGCAATTGCTTGGGGCAAAGATTCGGTGAGTTTCAGAACGTTTGGTCTGCGTTTCGCCACGATGCAATCTAGATCTAGGGTCCTGCCACTAGCAAGTTTCTTGAACTTGGGTGATCTGAAGTTGGGCAGACTGAAGGCATAAGGCAAACAAATGATCTGCCAAATACCTCCGAGTGAAGACGCTTCAGCATTCATGAGTCGGCTGAAAAACAGATTCTAATTATTCTACTCTGTGCTACCCAGTACACTGTACCAGCTAGCTAGTATACGAGTAGTATAACTACGAAATGCTACAAACAAGCATACATAAATAATAACTATTAAATGCTGATGAAACCACTATATTAACGAATTTGCAGCGTTTTCAGTTGTCTTTAGGTCATTCCTGACTCCGGAATGATCGAGTTCTTCGTGCCTCGAACTTCCAGAATCCCACAGTGTGCAGACACGGAAGCTCCGTTGGCGCCTGTTAGATGGTCTGGACTTGCAAGAGCTAAACTCCAGCAAAGACATTTGCAGCCCACACTTGGTGCAGGTCAAACTATGCCCAAGAATGTTGGTTAAATAGTGTTGACATTTGAGTCCGCACCTGCTTGCGCTTCAGGCTTAAAGGAAAGTCCTCCTCTTGTAGTCTTCCAGCGTGCTCCACAACGACATTGTTCTTTGTCAGGAGCAAATACTCTAAGCCGTCCTGACTGCGGGCGTCCAAAGGCAAATCATGTCAGGACATGTCCAGGCATTCAAACAGTTCGCATCGACTATATTTAGTTAAACTTTTGGAAATCATCAGGTCATGGTCATGGTTTCCATCTCCTACTAGTAAACCAGTCTCAACCAATGTGCTTATCAAGGAAACATATTGCATTCTACACAAAAGAAAAACACACTAATTACATCTACAACATATTACAACATTGTCTTGCTACTCGCAGTATCTTGCAGTCCTGCTTTTTTCGTGTGACATCATCTTGCCAGTCTGTTGAGAAGGGGATCGATGCCACCTCACCAAAAGGCACCTGCCCATTCTATCAATTCCGAAGCCAAGCTTCTGCCGGATGGGGTTTGAATGGTAGACAAACAACAAGAGGTGCAACAGCCAAGATTTCGGTACAGTGTATTCTGTTATTTTACCCCGCTCTTGCGGAGGTCAGCAAGTTTTTTTGTAGAGCTCCACCCTCAAGCCTTTCTCAAAGCAAAATCCCGATCATCTAATCGCAAGACATTGCAACAACAAAGATCCAAGCTTGTTTTCTACCAGTCGAAAGACTGGATCTTGTTCAAGAACCAGCTGTCCTTCTTTACTTGTGTTCCTCTAAGTCTCATCACAAGGCCCTAGGGCAGGCAGTGTCCAAGCATTTTTTGAAGCTCAAAGGCTGCCTCCTGCGCTTCCAGAGTCTTCGACACTCACGGCTTGATGCTTGTCTCACCAGCTGCACCACGTATACTCGTCTGAACAAAGCGCCAAAACGTCAATAAACATGCTTGCACATATATAACTAGTGGAACTTGATCAATATGGTTCTATATTCAGGGATCTCGATTCTCTTTCTAACTTAAAACTGCTGATTGGGATAAATGTCCCAACTAAACGGCAGCCGGAATAAAGCTGAACGATGGTCAAACAGGACCTGGCACTTCTTCAGGTTGAGCTAGTTGCAACAAGGCAGCATGAGAAAGATTATGTAACAAATGCTACTTCCGAATGTTGATCTCTGATAGCCAACCTGACAACCTGCCAAAAATGTGTCACCGGCATGTTTCATGCAGGTGAAAGTTGTTTTCCGGCTGTGTTGTGAACATAAATGTGTAGGCCAATACGAGCTGCTGCTACACGGAGAGTCCGGACAATGTCCTCTTTGGGCTCGGGCACCCTTTGGGTGCCGAAGCAACATTCGCCGGATTCACAAGGCATCAAGGAGCAGAAACTAAAAAAAACAAAAAACTCCAAAACTGATGATGTCCTTGCCAACAGAGCTAAAGCTATGTTGACCTGTCTACAGTATGTTTACGCTGGCAGGCACATTTTTCCTCATACTGTGACACCAAACACCTGAAACAATCCTGCTGTCGTCATTGGGTGAGCATGGGCAAATGTTCTAGGAACAGCATCAGGTTGGAGGTCATCGCTATTAGGTTGGAGGCCATGGCTATTAGGTTGGAGGCCATCGCTTATTACGTTGGAGGCCATCTCTGTCATCTCTATTAGGGGAGGCCATCGCTATTGGTTTACATGTAAAGAAAATATCATCTTCTTACACACCAGGAAGACCTGCAAGAGGCTAGCAGGGATGCACATCAACCAACAACCCATGCAACATCATGCAACCAGTTCTGGGGGGTCAAAAGATTCAGCAGCACAACTTTTGTCTCGCAATTAGTGGTATCACTGTATCACTACCCATTATATACTACCCTATTCGCTCTGTTCGACTTGACTATGAACATGAAGTTGCAGCAGATGCTGACTGATCTGACTGAATCTGACTGATTAACAAATCATGCCAGGTGCACGTTGGAGAAACCCAGGTCGATGTAGAGGTCCACCAACCACCCACCACCCCAGGTCCACCAACCACCCACCACCCAGAACGCACCCCAATGCCTCATGGTAAGTTATGATGATCGTGCAGAACGTTTGTTCATCGAATGGCCCATGATAAATTGAACAAGTCAACCAAAAGTTCAAAGCCACCCAGAACGCACCCCAACCCCCGATGGTAGGTGGCTGCACGTTTGTTCATCGAACGGCCCATGACAAGTTCTTCTTCCTCCCCCTCTGCTTTAGCATCCAATATTCTGACAGCATTTTCTTCTTCTTCCTCCCCCTCTGCTTTAGCATCCAAATCAAAGGTGAATACAAAAACTGAGAGCATCTTCATCTTCTTCCTCCCCCTCTTCTTTAGGATCAAACTCAAAACCATTAGCGTCATCTTCTTCCTCCCCCTCTTCTTCTGTATCAAAATCAAAATCATTAGCGTCATCTTCTTCCTCCCCCTCTTCTTTAGTATCAAAAGCAAAATAATACGCGTCATCTTCTTCCTCCCCCTCTTCTTTAGTATCAGAATCAAAATCATTAGCATCAGAAACAAGAAAACTGAGAGTCAAAAAGAAGTGAGAGTCATTTTTGCAAGCCCCTCTGATTCTAATGATTTTGTTATGCCAAACCTTTCGAAAGCACCGACCAAGGCATTCATGAGTGTGCCGAGTTGGCACAACTTGCTGAGATGGACCATTGAAAAAAGCAGGGTACGGCCACAATCGGGGCCATACTAAAGGTAGTCTTACCTTCCTTTCGGTTCGTCTCTTTTTTACATCTGCCATGAATCTTATGATTCTGACATCAGTTGAACTGCACCTTGATGCGGATGCATCTCCAATGGGGAACCCCTGAGAACTGGGTGTGCAAGACACCCCATTCCTTGGAAATGCCGAGAAGAGTCTTGCGCTTACAGTACAATGAGCGCGCAATGCATGGTTGCCGTGACATTTTGAAGCAGTATTGAGTGAAAGTGTCTTCCAGGTCATAGGTAAGCGTGCAAGAAGTGTAAAGCATTGTAAAGTAATAGTTATAGTTTAAAGCCACAGCAACCGTATGCTGCTGTTGTTCCAAGTTCCACATGCACAACACTGTCACTGCGGCTTCTCACCTTTCAGGTACTTTGAGGCATCGTCACCCACCTGAGCGCTTGATCCGTTCCCCGCAATGGCCCATGCACCTTAGGGTAAGCCCTACGCATCATAGCTTTAGCCGTATGCGCTGCAGCTTGCAGGTAACTAGCGTAGATCTTTGCATACCTACTATGAACAAATGAACAAGCAAAGGAATCACCAGCCCAAAGAATCCAGCAACTCAACGACAACCGCCAATTCAATGTCTCATAGCTGCTTTGGGCATCCACTACAACTAGGCTATCATCAAATACAGATCTTCTGCATTCTTCTGCCCTGCTATTCCCTGGCTCTGCTCAGGCAAGAGCGCCACTAGAGTAAGACAGCTCGTAAGTCTTGCAGGTTTGTGCGTGTTCAATGCATCCTAGAGCAATTCAATACAAATGCAACATGTATTCGCACCTGGAGAAAGTCCAAGACTGCACACTCTGTGATGACATCCAGCGGTGTAAAGACCACCTCGACACGGACGTGACACGAAGTTACGGGAACGGCAGAAACCTCTCACAGCCATGACTACCCTGTAACCCTCAGCCCTACCGTGGGTCCTCTCAGGGGGTTGGGTGCTCGCTTTGGGTTGCAACACTTTACAATGCTGGTTTGCAAATGAGAGTGCATAAAAATGAACTCTGTTCGGGCAGCTGCATGGAGCTGAAGATGCTTTACAGGTAGCGCTGCCAACTGGTCACCACAAGACTTACTGCATGTTCTTCTTAGCAATGCAACCACACAGAAAATGGTGCGAATGTATCAAGACTTAAGGCAGAAAGGAATGTTGTCAAACGAAAAACATATACAGTATTTCAAACTGTGCAGCAACATTAAAAGTGAGGAGATGCAAGGAGGAAAATATGCTCGCTGTCAGACTCAATCACAGCTTGATATATTCAGCCAACAGTCTGTCTAGTAGGAGGCTTGTAGTTCAGTAAAACATTCTCAAGTCAGGCCTCTCGCTCGAGATATTCTTTGATGGCATCTTCTAATGTCAGGCCCAACTCCTGGCAAAGACCATGCAGTGGCTTTCAGTCAGATCGTGAGAACCTGGTCCTAGCCTGCAGTTTGCCAAAACTCACCTTTCAATGTATATAATTACAAAGCAAAGCACTTAAAGGCAAAACCGTCGGTTGCGTTACGAGTACTGTATCATTTTCTGTTCCCGTCGTTGATGCGCATGCATCTGGAACACAAACCAGTTGCTTATAGATTGGATTGTTCAGCCTTGCTAAAGAATTGAATTGAGCAGTGATTGTAGATGCCGCGCCAAAGGCATACATACATAGAGGAGTACACATATGTCACATTGGACATGTGCGCACAACAGAAGCAACTCAAAGGCGCATTGATAATGCTAAGATCCAACGCTCAGCTCGAAAGATTCTGCAAAGGTTCTAAAGTGTCTGTCAGTGTCTGTCTATTCATTTATGACACAAAAATAAACCCACTGATGTGACGCTCCGATTTTTACATTTAGTGAATATTCTAATTTAATTCAAATTACACATAATTCTAATTACTTTTAAACTCTAATAGCAAACATTGTTCCTAGTAGTAATGCCCTTTGCTCCTAGTAGCTTCTTGCTCCTACCCCCGCCCACTGATGTGAGGCTCCGATTTTGACATTTAGATACATTTAGTCTTTTAGTGAATCTCCAAGAACACCCGCCTTGAGCTCAGGGATGCAACCTTGCCGACCGGTGAAGGTGGGAATGATTGACGACAAGAAGCTCTGAAGACATCTCCAGACCAAGGGCCGAAACCAGTCGTAAAATATGCATTAGCTAAAAGGGCGAGGTAGGCCGCTAGAAGAGGTAAGGTAGTTAGAGTAGCTAGTAGAAGAGGTACTGGTAGCTAGTAGCTACTAGTAAGCTACTACATGCTACTACTTACTGGACTCAGGATAGCTCGCGCTTCTTCAAGGAAGCTCCCCCCGCCTGAGGGCACGGGGAGCTTCCGTGAAGAATCGCTCGCACTTATAAATGATTCGGTTCCTAGATTTTTAGGGAAACTTGACCTGAAAGAGGGACAGTGGCACTTGGTTGGGTCAACACCCTGAAGTCACTCCTCAAGCTGTCAGCTTTTGCTTTTGACAGTCACCCATATTTTGTTGTATGTGATGGTATTTGGGGGAAGGTGTCCTTTAAGAGGCCAATGAAGCGCCCTGTTCTCCCAGAAGATCACAGGGCTACTTCATTGACTCATTGACAGGCCAAGGCACGGCTCTCTCTCACAGACTCCGACGCTCGGATCATCATGTCCTTCTGCACCCGTTCAGACTGGTCCTTCGCGCCACTAAGGATCGATTTCCGCACCGCCCACGCAAAAAGACACGATTCGTTGTGTGGATTGT